ATAGAATAGAATAGAATAGAATAGAATAGAATAGAATAGAATAGAATTCTTTATTGGCCAAGTGTGACTGGATACACAAGGAATTTGGTTTTGGTGCATTGGCTCTCAGTGTACATAAGAAAAATATACATCCATCAAGAATCATAAGATACAACACTTAGTGAGGGGATAAAGTTCCTAAAGGCCCAACAAGAGTTGGGGGAGAAGTTTCAAGAATCTGAATTAGATATGGCCCAGATGAACTTTTTGTTCCATGGCCCTTGTCCTAATTGGTGGGCCCTTATTTCCAAAAGAAAAATATCAGGATTGGTGGGGAGAGTTGCAGGGCCTGAGCAGTCTGCATGTCTTCTTTGGAACAGATGGCCAAAATGGCCACTGATGAACAAATAACAAAATGGCCACTGATGAACAAATAACAATAGAGCTTAAATTTATATACCACTCCATAGTGCTTTACAGCAGGGGTCTTCAACTTTGGCAACTTTAAGACTTGTGGACTTCAACCCCCAGAGTTCTTCAGCCAGCTGGCTGAGGAATTCTGGGAGTTGATATCCACAAGTCTTAAAGTTGCCAAGATTGGAGAGCCCTGCTTTACAGCATTCTCTGGGTAGTTTACAACATCAGCATATTGCCCCCCAACAATCTGGACCCTCATTTTACCAACCTTGGAAGGATCAATGGCTGAGTCAATAATAAGGACAAAAATCTTTAGTCAGAATTTTGGGCAATCAATACTTTAGTTTTGATCTGAAAGAAAACATTCCCTTCTTTTTCAGGTCAGTTACACTTTTGCTTCCCAGGTTTTGAGTGACAGAAAACGATTCCCCTTTTTTTACTCAACCTTCCCCAAAGAAGCACACAAGTACCCAGGGATTGTCAAACTACTCCAACATTTTGGGTGGACATTGGTTGGACTCCTTGCTGCAGATACTGAAAATGGAGAGAAATTCATGAGACTCTTCACACCCAAACTAGTCCAGAATGGCATCTGTGTAATTTTCTCCCAAACCATTTCAGTGAATCTTAGGAGCAATGACTACAGTCCTGGACTTTTCCATAAATGGAGTCAAGTCAATGTCTTTCTTTACTTTGCCGAGGCCTTAACCTTCTCATATGGAATAGCACATGCCCAACTCATTCTGAGCCAAATGGAGAAACCTGTTGTGGGAAAACTTTGGATCACAACAGCTTTCTGGGACCTTACCTTGCCATTGTCATATAGTGCTTTATCTTTCAGGTACACCCATAGTATTCTTTCCTTCTATAGCCGGACAAATCAAAACATTAAATATGATTATTTCCTCAAACTTAACTCTTTTACTAAGGAATTTGTAGATTTAGTATTTTCATGTTCCTATTCAAAGCATGTCCTATCTCTGAAAGGCTGGATAAGATGCAAAGAAAGAGAAAAATGGCGGAACGTCTCTCCTGCCCTACGGGAAAGGATTCTGTCCCTGGATGGCTACCACATTTACCACACCATCTGGACCGTTGCTCATGCTTTACACGCGGCCTATTCTCTCCGATCCCAGAGAAGGGCCACAAAGAATGGAAACCGATCTGGAGTTCAAAGACTCCAGCCATGGCAGGTACTTTTCTTTTCCATTACAAAAATTTCTGCTGAAGGAGAGAATCCACTCTCTCACTCCGTAATGTTTGGCTTTTTGTTGATATTTTGCTTAAACAAATATGTTTAATTTTGGTTTTTTTTCCTGATTTTACAAAGAGGGGAATTTTGTGGTGTTCAGAGCCACCGTCAACTGGCACAGCCCCTATAGCTTTCAAACAAATTAATAGAAGAATTTATATAGTCTATGAGTGAGTGAGTGAACTGGGCTTGGCTAGTCTAGTGAAGATAAGGACCGTGGAGTCATGATAGCGTTGTTCTGATATTTGAGGGGCTGCCACAGAGAGGAGGGGGTCAAGCTATTCTCTAAAGCACCTGTAGGCCAGACAAAGAATAATGGATGGAAACTGAACAAGGAGAGATTCAACCTGGGAATAAGAAGAAACTTTCTGACAGTGAGAACAATCAATCAATGGAACAGCTTGCCCTCAGAAGTTGTGGGAGCTTCATCACTTGAGACTTTCAAGAAGAATGTATGTGAAATGGGGAGGCACAATTATGTTGTCTTATGCTTGCTTGTGCTTTGCCATTTTGTGATGTCAGACTGCCATGGACTGGGGGAAGCAAGATAAGGAGGGGGATGCTTGGGGAATCAAAAGTAGAGCCTCTACCACCTCCTGATGCTTCCCCAAGGCCATCCAGCTGGAAGAAGGAGGGAGCTACATACAAAAGTGTGCTTGGACTGACTGTTATGAAAAGATCTTGCATGGACTTGATTGGTTACAGTGAGGTGGGCAGCAAGGGACAGTTAGGGGTGGGAAAAGTAGAACTTAGGGATTTTGGCACTCAATTCTCAATTCTGGCTATGCAGTACTGCAATACACTTAATCTGTAATAAAACTATACCTTTCTAAACAAATGAAGCCAAGGATTGTTTCTATTCAGAAGTTTAAGTAATGGATGGTCTTATTTTTTAATAAACCCTTCTGAATAAATCTTTTTTTTACCTTACCTCAGAACATGCAGCCCAGTTTTGTGACTTAACATTTACTTAAGCTTTCACATAAACCCATTGTTATTGGTTGGTATTTGCCGGTTCTCCAAACTACTCAAAATTTCGCTACCAGAACTGGTCAGAACCTGCTGAATACCACCTCTGCTTTCCACTTTGTTTTGTGTCCATTGGAAGATGGAAGGGGCTCACTCCAAGGAATGGCCTTCAGCCCTTCAACTCATCCTTGAATTACAGGAAGAACATCTATGCAGTCAGGAAAATGTAGATCTCTGCCTTGCTTTTCTATATTCTTCAATTCTTCCATTTTGCTTGTCCTTTCCAGCTTCACCCTTTCCTGAGCATCGCCCAGTATTACAACAATTCCATGGAAGGAGTATATTTGGATGAAAAAGGGGACCTGGCAGCTGACTTTGACATCATGTACTGGGTGAAGTTTCCCAATCGATCTGTTATCAAAGTGAACATTGGGAGTTTGGAAAGAGAGGGATGCTCGGAAGCCAAATTTAGGCTCACAATGGACCAGAAGGCAATCATGAGGTCCATGCAGGTCAACAAGGTGGGGAAGTTAATTTCTTTCATATCCCCCCATTTTGGAAGCATTTCCTAATATCTGAGGCATGTTCTCAACCGAGTTTCTCACTTGTCTGACAGAAGGAAGCTACAGGATTTTTTAAAAAATCTTCTTTTTCTTATGTTTATTTTATTAGATTCTGCATGGCTCTTTGCCATGTAGTCATGCCCCAAAGAATTTATTGTGTGCCTTAGGACAGGACATGGAGAGCTCCGTTAAAAGCTGCTAATCTTAAGGACTCTGGCCAAACTTCATTCAGGTCGGTTATCAGCATCAAGATTCCAAGATCAGGAAGCCCCCAAAAGCCTGTTTGATGGTCCTACAGACATGTCCATGTTGCCTTCTGATATCCTGCACCTGTCTAGTGCTGCTCAGAGCAGAAGAGAAACATAGAGGGCTAAACAAGGAAGCTTGGGTAGAAGTTGGTCATAAAAAGGAGAGGAGAAGCAAAGGAGTTAAGTGGGAGGTTTGGGGGAAGTTTAGAAGCATCTTTGGTGAGGTTACTGAATGTTTTTTTTCCTGAGTCTGGAACAGGAATATTCCACAACTCACACCCCTCATATCCTGGACATAAACTGTTTCAACTCCTCTCCTTAGGACAGCACTATAAGGCATTGCATGCCAAAATAATTAGACATAGGGACATTTTTTCCCCTTGTGCCATCACTGGGCTGAATACCTACTTTTCAAAGTTCTGTCTAATATCTATGTGCATTTACCCATGTAGTGTGACTGTAGTATTATTATTATCCATTTCCTCTTCTCTATTACCCCCATTTATTGTCATTATTGATTATTATTACTCTGTTGCTTTGCATGGACACTGAGAGCTTCTGACACAGAGAGAAATTCTCATACTTGACCAAATAAACTATTCCGTTCCTTTCCATTCTGTTCCGTCCCGTTCTGTTCTATTCTATTCAATATTATATGCAGTTCTGGGTTTCTGCAAATATCAAATATGACACAATAGAGTTAGAAAAGATTCAGAAGAGAAAGGCTAAGGTGATTATGGGGCTGGAGCAGCTTCCCTATGAGGAAAGGTTGCCTTACTAGAATAGAATAGAATAGAATAGAATAGAATAGAATAGAATAGAATA